GGTCTTCTTTCCTTGTGTCTTCTACTGGCTTCCATCATCTTGCTGATTTCTTATGATCTTTTCCAGGAATAAAGGTGGAGTTTTAAATGCTTCGGTCTTCTTTCCTTGTGTTTTCTGTTGGCCTCCATCATCTTGCTGATTTCTTGCATTTGCTATCTTCGCACGATCATCTCGCTGATATTCTTCCTTCTATGTTTGACCATTGCCAATCTTGCTCCTAAGAATCTGCTCTTCTTCAGGTCTTCAATTAAAGATATTTGATTATCCTTTGATTTTTCCTTGTGAAGCTTCTTGACAGATCTTCTTTCCTTTAGAATTATTCTTCCAGTAGTTGCTTTGATCTCCCCCCGTTGATGTTAAATTGGTTTTCCTCGATCTCAGTCCCTTTTCTATTCCTGCAAAAACCATTTGCCATACTTAGTTCTGATTCTAATTTTGTCATCATAAAAATTGGGTGCTAACAATTTCTCACTTTTTGATGATGACAATAAAAATTAGAAAATGATTTATCTAAAAAAAATTGAGATCAAGACTTGTTACTTCCCTCAGTGGCATCAACAAAAAGGAAAATACAAAGGAACTAGACACACAATAAAGCATATTGTTGACTAAACATGGCAGATAATATGTAAGTCGACTACATACCAAACAGTCGGCTAGACAAAAGCAACCAGTCAAAAAATGTAAGTTTAGAGTTTACAACAAGTTGACTGAATCATCAGTCCTACACAACATAATAATTGTCCAAAAAAATATTCCATCAACTAAGCAGATTGAGATACTTCTTGATTATTGTCTTCATCACCTGCAACGATATCTTTCTCGATCATAGGATTAATATCATCAAATATGACATGAACAAATTCTTCTACGCACATAGTACGCTTGTTGTAAATCCTATAAGCTCTGCTAGTGTTTGGGTAGCCAAGAAATATACCTTCATCACTCCTAGGATCAAACTTTCCAGATTGTCCTTACCGTTGTTGTGGACAAAACATTTACATCCGAAGGGATGCAAATAATTGATATTTGGTCTCTTACCTTTCCATAGTTCATATGGAGTCTTTTTCAAAATAGTTCGTATACGACACCTGTTCAGAATGTGGCATGTTGTGCTTACTACCTCTGTCCAGAAGTGATTTGGCAGGGAGTGTTCAACGATCATTGTTCTTGTCATATCTTGCACGGTTCGATTTTTTGCGCTCCACTATGTTTCGTTGGGAGGATCTGAGTGTCGAAATATTGTGTGTGAATCCTTGTTCATCACAGAATACTTCAAAGGATTTGCTTTCGAATTCGCCTCCATGATCACTCTGTGTAGTAGAAATGTAGTATCCTTTTTCTCTTTGTACTTTCTTGCAGAAGATCTCAAAGTTCTTTAGAGCTTCATCTTTATGACTAATCTAAATAAGTTTTTATCACCCATCATATGACTGGAACACGCATTATCAAGTTACCGTTTCCTTTTGTGATTCTTCTTGTGGTGTTCCTTCAAAATAGAGAAGTTACTTCCTTTCGGGTAACAAGCTTACTTGGGTCCTTTTTGGTTAGATCTGATGATTCCTGTATTAGTTTTTGGTCTCCAGACCCATCCTTGATTATGACAAAATCTGTAATTTGAGTACTTATGTCCAAACTTGCCATAGTAGTAACATGAGGTAGCTGACTGTTCATTAGTAACAGATTTGCATGTAGACTTACTTTGTCTAGATGTGTTACTGGTAGGTCTTTTTCCAGTATACTCACAAGATTGAATTGGCTGGTTTGACCTAACTGAACTGTGACCGGTGGATTTATGCAGACCATTTATTTGCAATAATAATTCCTGAACTTGTTCCTTAAAGTTATCTCTTTCGAGTTCACAGACTTCAAGATTAAGTTCCCGATCCTTCTTTTCCCTATTTAGCCTCTTTATTTCATTTACAGACTCTTTTAATGCAGAATCTAGAATATCTTGTAATTCATTACATCTGTTGCAGTTGTAGGGTCTTACCTCACTTGTTTCTCCTTTAGCCATAAGGCAGTGATCTGCTAAGTCTTCATGATCATCATCTGAAATGTCTTCATCATTCCAGCATCCGGAGAAATCATTTTCATGGAAGGGACACAAAGCGTATATTTGCAGTTTCGTCATGATCTGTTGTGTCTTCATCACTCCAACACCCAAATGATCTACTCTTCTGATATTCTTTGGATGTCTTCCTTTTTAGTTATGGGCATTCAGCCTTGATATGTACATATTTTCGACATTCATATCACTTTCCATTATTTCTTTCCTGTTCATTGAAATTTTTTGGTTTAATGGAATTTGTTATGCCTTTCTTGGCATTCCTGAATCTTTTCATTAGGCCATTCCCGGTTTTGGATACTATGACAATTTCTTCTTTCAGAGCTTCTAAATAAATACTGAATGTAAAGTGCAGGAAAGTAAATGACACAACGATGTTTTTATACTGGTTCAAATTCAATATGGATCCTAATCTAGTCCCTTGGGTTGCAAGAGGGTCTCTCAGTAAACTCCTTGGTGAATTTGTAACAACTTCGTTGATGTGTTTCCTACGCACACACCAACCTTAATTCTAGAGGTTCTCATTTCTTTAGATGCAATGCCTCACCAATGATTTTATCTCTCTCTTCTCTCTTTTGATTACACAATAGTTCTCACTAAAATACAATGCTTGTTAAGAGTAGAACAAAGAGCTTGGAAGTTAGTAGATGGAAGTATGTCTTGAGTCCTCGTCTTCTTCTGAATATATAGCCAGAGCCAGTTGATGCTCATCTTTGATTTCAGCGATTGATTTGATTTCCTTGATACAAAGATAACAACCCAAAGGATTTGGTTATTGGAAAAGATATATTATGTTCTTTTCCAAGAATAAAAGGTGGAGCATTAAATACTCCGGTCTTCTTTCCTTGTGTCTTCTACTGGCCTCCATCATATTGCTGATTTCTTGTGATCTTTTCCAGGAACAAAAATGGAGCTTTAAATGCTTCGGTCTTCTTTCCTTGTGTTTTCTGTTGGCCTCCGTAATCATGCTTATGTCCCGGTTAGGAGGTGTGAGCGGTTGGCTGTGGCGGGTATGAGAAGAGGTAGAACGCAGCCTAAGAAGTATTGGGGAGAGGTGATCAGGCAGGACATGGTGCGAATTCAGATTTTCGAGGACATGGCCTTTGATAGGAAGGTGTGGAGGTCGAACGTTAGGGTGGAAGGTTAGGAGGTAGTTGAGCGTTTTTCTACTTTGTACCGGGTGTGAGGCTAGGTTAGTCTGATAGTGTTTTATCTTAGACTGCTAGTGGTTAATAATGTGTTCACACTATTTTTCCGTTTTTATAGTACTGTGCCATTATTAATGGTATTGTTATTGCTTTTTCATCTATTTTCTGGCTCTTACGATGCTGATATTATCTTCCTGGCTTCTGTTGCTGTTACTGATCTATTGTCTCTTTTCGTCTTCTTGAGCCGAGGGTCTAGCGAAAACAGCCTCTCTACTCTTCCGGGGTAGGGGTAAGGTTTGCGTACACACTACCCTCCCCAGACCCCGCTTGTAGGATTTTACTGGTTTGTTGTTGTTGCTGTTGTTACTATCTTCGCACATTCATCTCGCTGATATTCTTCCTTATTTGTCTTGTAATTCTTCCTTTTCTGTTTGACCATTGCCAATCTTGCTCCTAAGAATCTGCTCTTCTTATCTTCAGGTCTTCAATTAAAGGTATTTGATTATCCTTTGATTTCTCATTTTCCTTGTGAAGCTTCTTGACAGATCTTCTTTCCCTTTTTACAATTATTCTTCCAATAGCTGCTTTGATCTTCCCCCGTTGATGTTAAATTGATCTTCCTTCGATCTCAGTCCCTTTTCTATTCCTGCAAAAACCGTTTGCCATACTTTGTTCTGATTCTAATTTTGTCATCATAAAAACTGAGTGCTAACAGCCATGAATCTCCAGTTCCACTTTAGAGCAAACTTTTTTTCCGTAGGTTGAGATTTTTAACTCCCAAACCTCCAATTTGTTTGTTACTTGTGACTATGTTCCATTTCACCTAAATGCATCTTTCTTCTATCTCGAGTTCCCTACCACTGAAAATTGCACCTTCTCCTATCCAATTGCCTTTCCACTTTTCGGGCATAGGAAATAAGGACATAAAGTCAGCAGGAATCCCATCCATCATACTTTTTATTGAAAAGCTAGTTTGGAGAATTAAATTATCTATTTTCGGGGCTAGGGGAGGTGGCTTGGCATTTGATGCTCTTCGAAAAGTTAGAGAAAGTGAAATTAGTAATTTGTTGAATAAGTGATCAACTAAGAAGCTATCTTTTCACAGGTAAAGAGGTTCTGTACAACATTTGTAGGTGGGGGAAAAGATTCAACATCAGCAAAACCTTGACACCTATTTCTATTTGTATAAACTAAATCTGCTTCTATAAAATTCTTTTTTCTCACAATTAGTTGCCTATGTTACGTTTTACTGTTAGTTTATTTTTCCATCTAATTGCATATTGAGAAACTAATTTAGTGCAACTTGTTCAATAACAGGTAAAAGTTCTTTCATTGACGGATCATGATACTATGTCTGGCATCCCAGAAGCACTGGAAGCAGCTCGTAGATTTGGCATTAAGATTATTCCCGGAGTTGAAATCAGTACAATGTTCTCCCAAGGGTCAGTCTATTGATTTGGTTTAATGTTCTACCTTAAACAGGGCAAAGATGTGAAAATTATTTCTTGGCTCTCTCTCTCTAAAGTACTCTATGATACAACAAGGTCTTTCTTTAATTTTCTGTTTTTGGTGTTCCATTACAAATTTGGCGACTCTGTTGATCCTGGAGATTTTTCAGTCCTGTCATCACTTCACTGCAGAATTATAAAGGTTTTCATTACAGGTGGGATTCTGCATCAGATGAACCAGTGCACATTCTTGCATATTACAGCAGTTGCGGACCAGCAAAATATGATCAACTAGAGAAGTTCCTGAGTGGTATACGGGATGGACGTTTCCTCCGCGCGGAGAACATGATTTCAAAACTTAACAAACTGAAGTTGCCCCTTAAGTGGGAGCAGGTAGCAAAAATTGCAGGAGAAGGAGTTGCTCCAGGGAGGCTGCATGTTGCTCGTGCTATGGTTGAAGCTGGCCATGTAGAGAATCTAAGACAGGCATTTTCCCGATATCTTTATGACGGAGGACCTGCTTATGCTACGTAATTATCACGCTTTGGTTAGATTAAATCTATTGCTAAGGTTATTTTGTTTCATTGAAAAGTTTGATGAAGAG